AGCAAAGCTCATTTAAAACAAAACCACATTAGTCTTGGCAGGAAGCTTGAATTGTGACCATCGCAAGGAAGCTCCATTAATTACTGCTCCCATTGCTCTATGAAAGATCAAATGCTGTGGATCAGTTTTAATTGGCTATTGATTTCTTATGTTATTACCTACGGTTGTGCTAAGATGCCGTCAGACATATTGGATGCTTTTGATTATTCTTGCTGGCAGCTGGGATTAAAAACAGCGGGCACACACTTCCTGATCTGTAATGGATTGCCATGGTGTGCCAACAAAAATCGTTGGCAGGATGAATGGTCCTGCTCTGCCTGTCTCTTGTGCTATTGAGCTGCAGTGCAGCTATGTAGTGAAGGCAAATACCCTCAGGGACTGGCTGCCAAGGAAAGCGAGGGAAAAGCTTCAAAGAACATGAGGATTTAGTGCCTACAAAAGTGAGCGACTGTCAGCAGCGAGGCAGGGTGAGTCAGAGTGCAAGGAGTGGTTGAGCATGGACAAAGCATCAACCCCACCAGACAGCAACCCAAGGAAAGGCAGATCAGGTTGCTTCTGAATCGCCGGGGATAAGCCCCTGACATGTCAATCACAGGGATGCCATGTGTGCAAAAACACGTGGGACTGCGCACATACACAATGACAGTGCTGCACACAACAGCCTGCTTATGTCCTTTCTGAGCCACATTTCTCCCTTGGAGCAGGCTTGGTGATTTCCTAAGCTTAGGCTGTGACACGCTCTCATTAGCTGGCAGAGTTACTCCTTGTTTAACAGGAGATTGTTTCCTGTCCTCCTGACCCCAAATGACACTTTAATCTACAAACACCGACTTTTTTTAATTGCACCTTGACAGAAAGAGAGACAAACCCCTCCTTCCCCCTCCAAGGACTGTCATTTAATTAACAGGCAGGTATCTCTCAGGATTTACAGCCCAGCTCTAAGCTGCCAATCTCTCTACTCGGTAGCTCAGGCTCACTCCACTTATCTTTACATTTCAATACCTGCATTCCTGCTAATCCCTCTTTAGGCCAGATTTCTGGATTTACCTCGCAGAGACCTGTGGGGAGAGCAGTTAATCAAATGAACTGTCCCCACCTCGCTTCTCATTCACCTCCTGGCCACAGATCTCAAGGCTCTTATGTTGTAGACAGCTTCGTAGAAGAGCAATAGTTATGCTGGCACTGTTGCCAGTTTCTGGTTTAATTCAGCTCTCATGTCTGTCCTATAGTCATGACGAGATGTAGCACACACAAAAGAGAGAGAGAGAGATCAGAGTGAAAGACATTAGGGCTGGCTGGATATCAAGAAGCATTTAGTCTGTTCCTCCTTCACAAACTGGGATCATCTCTCTGCAACCTGTTCTTGACATATGTTTTTCTAACAGGTTCTTTAAAATTTCCAGTATTGGAGACTCCTGCAAATTCCAAGCAATCCTTTCCAGAGCATCCTGCCTTCCTGTTAGATATCTGAGAACAAAGGAGAGAACAATGCTGAAAGACCATCTTGCACATCTTGCCCAGATGGATAAAACTTCTGGCACTCAGGGCCATGCCTTCTGCCTTGCTGGTTTTGAGGAGCAGATTCATTTTATTTTGGTCGTGTTTTTGTTTCCTTTGGTGGGTGCAGGGGCAGCAAATGGTATCTGTTCATTAAGCTGTCTTTGCTGAGATGCTGGGATCTAGTGGAGTTCAAAGAAAGCTTGTGTATTACTGCATGTGAGTGCCTGAGTAAAACCCTCTGAATTTGAATGCATGGTTCAGTAGTCTCTGGGTTAATGCTTTCTTTTGAAAGCTCAGTTTGGAGCAGATCAGACGATTTCAGAGCATGTGCATGCAGATCAAGTGAGGATAATATTCACCAAATGATTGGTGTGAATCCCAATTTCCATGTGCCAATTGTTCTCCTGGACAAAAGTCACTCAGTGACTACTCAATGGACTTGAGAAATGGAAGAACAACCAAAGTGGACACAGGCAGGAAGTGCCAAGGGACTCTGCTTCAGCACATCTGCTCACATGGAAATCACAGAATTGAGCTGGAAGGGACCATTAAAGGCCATCTAGCCCGACTTCCCTCCAATGACCAGGGACACCTACAGCTGGATCAGGTTGCTCAGAGTCTACCTTGCCTTTTAAACCTCTGCTCCTCTGCCAGTGGAAGCAAAACTCAGGATCAAACTGATGGAAGAAGACACACAATTAGTGTAGGCCCTACAGAATAGCATCTGGAAGGTAAGGCTGTGCAGCCCATTGCCAAACAGTACACAATGTAAGTGTTATGTTAGCTGGAAAAAAAAAAACAAAACACAACAAATCTAACAGGACTGAATGCATCTAAATGTCCTGCTCTTTCCCCATCACTGAGCATTTCTTAGTGCCTTATTTTTTTTGTACCCATCCACGGGCTGGAAAGCAAAAGGAGAAGAGGGCTGGGCTGCAGAGGAGGAGTTAGAAAAATGCACAGACTGCACTCTGGTATTTCTAGAACTGTTGTCACTACAATTATCCATGAGAGGTTTTATCCTGAACTTGCAGAAGTGGAACTAAAGCCTGGGGAGGAGTAACACCAGGCTTCAGGCAGTCAGGAGCAGAACTCTGAGTCTTCGGAGCCAGTTTTGCCCAGCTGTGATAAAAGACATTGCAAGGCGCTGTGAGGCCTGGGAGAAGGATAAAAGATGGGAAGTAGCCATTCTGCACCGAGGAACTCACTGTGAGTGTTTTAGAGAGCTGCCATTGCTGCATCCATCACAATCAAGGAAAGCTGTAACAAATGAGGAGTTCATAGAATCATAGAACTGTTCGAGTTGGAAGGTACCCTTAAAGACCGTCTGGTCCTACCCCTTGCAATGAGCAGGGACACCTACAGCTCCATCAGTGCTCAGAGCCCCTCCAGCCTGGCCTTGAGTGTCTGCAAGGATGGGGCATCTACACCTCTCTTGGCAACCTGTGCCAGTGCTTCACTACTCTTACTGTAAAAAAATTATTCCTTATATCCAATCTAAATCAATTAACAGCCGGGATTGCAAAGGCCACAACATAAGCACTTTTTAACACTGGTGCTGACTGCATGCATATATCAGCTTTTCTAGAGAAATGTATACAAAAGGTTCTCATGGTACAAAACGTCATGTCTCCTGGCTGATCATGGGTGGGCTGCCTGAAAGCACAGCAGACAAGCTGCACACAACACGACTGGAGCCAGCCGTGGGTGGGCACTGCTCTGAGGTGCTGGGCAAGAGAAAATATACACATCAAGGCACTGCATTGTAGTGCTTCCCACTTGCTTTTGAGTTTGTGGGAAAAACAGCATGTCTGGCCCACCAGACTGTGGGGCTGCCAGCTGTGCAAGAAGGGCTGCAAGGCAAGGGGCTGCTCTCAGCTGCAGCTCTGAAGTATTCCTGGGAATGGGATGGCCCCTTGCTCTCTGGTTGGAAAAATCAAAGCTCACAGCTTGGGGCAGTGTGCTTAGTGGTGACATCAGTAGAGATGCAAAGGGATATTTTTTACCCCCTAGAGAAGGTGGAGAGGAAAAATAAAGGCCAGATCCTTTAAAAAAAGAAAAAAAGAAGAAGAAGTAAAACCCCTCAAATATGAATCTTTCCGCCCAGCTCCCTTTCAGTTCCTAGCTGGCATAGCTTGTTCTCTGCCATGTGGGAGGATTTAGCATCTATTGACAGATGAGCTAATCAGTTCCCCTCAGCTCTTGAAGCTTTATCAAAGCCAGTTAATCATATTACTGACGTCTGCCCATGCCAAGGCTCTCCACTTCTGTCCTCTGACAACAAGGTGACATGCATGCATGCCACATGCACAGAGAGATCACTTTTTTCCACTCCCAGTCACACCAACAAGAAAATGTCACCAGGGCTGCTGTGCCAGCACGAGGGGGCTGCCTGTCTCTCTTTCACCCCCCTTGGCCACTTCTTGCTGATCTGTGGCAGCTCACGGTGGAGCAGCCCAGGCTCAGATCTTGTCAGCACAGGGATGGCAACAGTGGGAAGAACTGGACTGGGTTTCAGCTTCCTGTCCTGGAAGGATGCTGATGCCAATCCGAACCCAGACCAGGGCTTGCTGCCAATACCTCTCTCCCTGAGGCCTGGTATGTGTTACTTCCCTATCCCAATTTCACTGACTGCAATACAGACTGTACTGCTCTTCCTGAGGGCTGACCTGGGTGCTATGCTCCTTTCCTCAGGAATGGTTCTACTCACACTAACACTAATCCACCAAGCCAGGAGTACTGCCTTGTCCTTTTTTTTTTTTTTTTTCCTGGGAAACTCATTCTGCATTTATACCAATAATGGAAGAAAACAGGTATGAAGAGCCTTCTGGAATGCTCTTTGCTTCCCAGCACGGTCACTCAAATTCACATTATCCAGTGGCCTATGCTTGGGTGGAAATTGATCAGGAGCATGCTTGGAGATGGTTGGTATTTACTTGACTGTTTTGTTAACTACCACTTTTTCATGGCCTGGGTGGTGAGTGCCTCTGCCCACAGATATTTTAGCCATGTCCCTCCACTCAGGCTTCCTGCGGGGACAGAGACCTTGCCCTGAACCCACCACCCTCCCACCGTTCCCTGCACAGCCATGCATGAGGAGAGTGTGGTGCTGCAAGGTGCAAACCAGAGCATGCCATGGTCAAACATAGGGCAGTCCCTGTATCAGCTATTCCAGAATGGCAGGAGTTTCCTCCCCAGTGTTAATCAATACTTCTCAGCCTCCCCCAGACCTCCCTGCCCTCTTCTTGCTTTGAAGAGAGATTTGTTTTTCTCTGGGCTTGTTGCAAGTCCCTCTGCCAGCCCAGCCAAGGAGATTCTCCAGGGCTACAGAGACTGGCAGAGAGCACTGTAGAAAAGGTGTCAAAAAAAAGCAAAGAAGGGGAAGAACAGAGGAGGTTCAAACCGAGAACAGAGCCTCTCCACACCATCTCTTACTCCTCTCTGCAGGTGAGTGGGCAGTCGGCAACCCTGGCCATGTGCTGTGAGAGGTGTTCACCCACCTATACAGACAATGTCCATGAAGCCATACATTCCATAGCAGATCTGGAAGAGCAGGTCCTGGCGCTGCCATTTGGCTGAAGGACTGAAGGTCGACCAGATGAGCCACGAGATACTGGCGATGAGGAAGAGGGAACCCAGGATGGCTGCTGCTATCTGAACCTTCTCAATGACTGTCAGGGAGATGGCCTGCCACTGCAAGGGATGGCAAGAGGGAGAGGAAGGGAGACAAGGGAAGGGAGGAGAGAAAAAGAGGAGAAAGTAATCACATGATGGACATTGCAATTTTGCTTCACTGCAGTGATTCATGAAGATACCAAAGATCACCTATGCCTTATATGTGCACACTACACATAGATGCTTTTACCTGGTCCACCTCGTGGCTGGAGATGAACCTGGCCATCACAAGCCAGGATGAAGGCTTGTCTCAAATGAAGGCCAGGCAGCAGCCTTGGTGATGGCATCCTTTTACCACAAGATTTGTCTCAGACAGCCATGCTTTGCCTTGCAGGTCTCCTGTGAGCAGGCTCCGTGCTGCTTGGTGAGATGTGACAGGATTGCAGCTGTACATAAGATCTCATGGAAGCAATGCACACCCCACAAAATGTTACCAACGATGAAAGTTGCTGCTGCCAGGACTCCCTGCCTTTAGGTGGTGACATGTTCAGGCCGTTTCCTAAGGTAAAAGGCAGTTGTTCTGCCTCAGAAGAAGAAAAAAAATAGTACTAACTTCCCCAAATCCATTTGCTTTGTCAAATAGCTTTGTATAAACTACATTATAAATATCCAAAGCCCAAACTCCTCTCTGTCATCCAGAATAAAACCTCCTTACTCAGATTTATGCTGCTGAGACAACTGTCCTGTAAAAACCAAGAGCAGAAATTGCTTTTTCTAACAAGACTTGGGGGGACATGGCCCACAGTGCCTCCTGCAAATCAGAAATCAAATGTGTAAACAGGCTGGGAGAGATGGAAATATATAGGCCACCTTTAGCTGTGAGATACATGCCCTTGAAATCTAGTAGGGCCGGTAAAAGGATAAAAAAATGGGGACTTCAACCTCCTCCAAGTGAAGAGGATTCAGAGGGACTGAACATTTTAGCCTGGATTCACGCCAAATTCAATGTCCAAGTGAGGTGTCAGCTCTGGAGAGCCCTGAGCACCCTGCCTCTTTGTCAAACACATCCTGGGACACCAGGGTCATCTGTCAAGCCTCATCACCTCATTTTGTAGGGCAAGAAGGCAGTCTGCTCTTTAATGTCCATATCAGCTAGAGGTCACCAACGTTTTTGGGATGCAGGGAGAACTTTGCCCCTTGCTCAAAGGGCAATAAGGTGACTTATGCTGCCACAGGGTTGCGCAGCACTGTTACCATTCCAGTTACCAGACTCCTGGACTGAATGCAGTCCCCTGCAAAGCACTGCTTTGGAAAAGGTTGCATCTGGAAGGTGATCGCATGCCTTGGCTCAGAGGTGAGCTGAAGTGTCTGCCTCTGCCAGCATCAGTCTCTGGCTTATGTCCTGCAAGGGCAGACAGCCCTCAAGTTTTGTGATAAGGATGTGCAGCTTCACTGAGGTGATGGTACCAGCCTGATTCATAGACGACCATGAAGTAGATAGATGACTGAAAAAAGACAGAGGCTGTTCAATGCTGAGGCAGTCCTATCCTCTTCCACTAAGCCTGACAAATGCTGAAGGGATGGGGGAGCAGGGAGCCTTTCGTAGAGCTGCCTGCTATGGTTTTGCTGCAGGTTCCTCACGTTGACCCGCCTGTGCCAGCAAAATCATTCTGCATCATTTCTCTCTCTCAAGGAGGTAATGGGCTGGCTCCTCACCATCTGTCTGGCAAACTGCAAGGCTTGTGGCAGCAACAGGTCCTTCCAAGGTAGCAATTAAAGAGAGAAAAAGGAGGAGATGTTTCCTACAGCTAGCAGCTGCGTACAACTGTTTTACAGAGACAGGGAGGCATCAGTGTGATTTTAAATACATTATACTTTCAAAGAGGACGTGGCTCAGGGCAGAGAAGCTGCACCTGTGAAACAGCTTCAAACCTGCCTTTGGATGAGAGCAGAGATGCTGCAACATTGACAGGGCTGCTGCCTGGTGCTGGTGGTAACAAAGGAGCACTGACTGTTCAGGGGGTGGCACTGGGGGGAAATTACCCACAGGTGAGAGCTGAATGCTGGAGAAAACAACCAGCTCACACAAGAATTTCATTTTTTCCTAATCTCTCTCTGTCATCAGTAAGGCCAGCAAACCAGGGATTTAGAGGGTGAACTGTCACACGTGAACTGTCGAGTGCAGTGAGCTGCTGGCCTATACTGCAGCGTACCTTTAACAACAGACAGCTCAATCTCCTTGTCAATTGAGACTGATTTTGGGCAGGTAGAAAGCCCTATAGATAGTCTGCACTGCTGAATAGGGTGTAACTTGGAGGTACCAGGAAACACTACAGGCTTCCGTGGGATAACAGAAGCAGTTTTTGAGTGCTGGGCTCACAGAGGCTGCAAAGAGAGCTGAAGCAACTCTCTGCAATGGCTTTGCCAACCACACTGGAAAAAAGGCTCTTTTTCTGCAGACTGCTTTGAAAACTCATTGCAAATCTGCACCCACCAGATCAAGCTACCCAGGTCTCCATCCAACCCAGCCTTGAGCAAAGACTGGGCAGCCTGTGCCTTGCCTTACCACCTCAAATGTCCTAATTCATTCACATGTCCTTACCACCATTCTCCCTGTCTGACCACTTTGGCACAACACCCAGATGTTCATGTGCAAAACACCATACTCTCTTGGATGAATTTCCCCCAACTTTCCTCAGTTTCCCCAAAGTTCTGTGCACCAGATGCCTCAGAAAAGGTTTCTTAGGAGCCCAGGTCTGATGTCTGCAATGATCATAGGTAGAGATGAATGTAGGACTGATGCTTGCCCATCATATCCCATTTGATGTGATCTGTAGTTTGTACCTGGGGCAAGACCATTCCCCTGTTTGTTTCAGTGCTTCTCCTAGAGTCTTGTAACCAAAACCCCTGCTGCAAATGTAACAAAAATTAACAATGTCATCAGTGTAGTATTTAGGGTCTGATCCATACTTCCCTTTCTTTAACACCAGCAGTCTCCAAAGATTCACAAGCATGAGCACGAGCAGATCCAAGGCACGTATTTGCCTGCAGAAGATATCTCTGTTTTAGTGCAGCAGCTTGCTAAGAAGCCTTGCTTGCTAGAAAAGCCTTCCTACACTCCTCTGAGAGCTCCCCCATGGCTGCCTCAGGCAGTTCAGTTTATTTTTATTGCTATATCTGACACGTCCCCTTAGTACGTATCATTAACATCCTGAGTGTGCTACTCAGCGATTTTGTTTCAAACCCAGTATCCCAAACAAGTAGAGGTTTATCCTAGAAGGATGCAGTGGAGCATTCCCATCACTGCTTGGGTCTGGCTCTCTCCTCAGTGCTGTCCTGATGCCCTGGCTATCCACCTTGATTATCTTTAGGAGAGTACACTAACCAAGCAAATTAGTCCTAAAGCTGTGGTAGCTTCCCTGCTGTACACTTACAGATGCTTTGGTTTATTCAGATGCAAGAGAGCAGAGAGAAGGAGGGGCCACTCCCAAAGCACTGGAGAGAACTGGGATCAGATCCCAACCCCAGCATTCCGTAACTGAGGGCCTCTGGATATAACTAACCATAGGTCAGGAAGAGGCAGGGAAAAGAATGTGATGCAGAGTTGGACTCCTTGAGACTGCAGACAGCAGTAGGTCTGGGAAGGCTGATTCAAACTGATCTGGTATTTGCTGAAATCAGAGCATCCGAATGAATGTGGCATAGGAGTGGCTACAAAGCTGTATAGATGAAACCCACTGCAGAGCCCTGTCATAGCAAGTGCTATCGCATGCTTCCAAAACTGTGTTTTCAGGGCCTCATTAAAATCATAGGCTTTGCACAAATACTGCAGCAGAGAGGAGCTTTTAGACTCTCCGTGCCCATATCTCCTGCCTCAGGGACCAGCAGAATTACAGCAAGCTATGGATGGACAAAGGCTGTGCACCTCCTGATTGCTCATAGTGGGTGGGAAATTTTTGCTCATTTGCTGCTGCTTGCCAGGACACTTGCCATGCTCTCCAACAACTTTAATCCTCCAGTCTCAGCAGTGTTGCTGCTTTAAGTCTTTTGCTCTTAAATTTCAGCCATCCAGGGCTGAGGGGTTAATTTATAGAAATTCTTTATATCAAAATGCCAGACTGGAGGCTCCTCTCTGCTATGAGACATCATAACAGCCTGGAGGCTTGAAGGAATCTGTGTTAATTATGTATGAACCACATTCCCCTGACTGCAACTTCTCTGCACATCTGGCCCATGCCATACTCCTAGGCTTGCTAGAAAATGTGCAGCATGCGTCCAAATGGGCAGAGAAACAGGCAGATCCTGGGGCATGTGGGTGTTGGGTGTACTGCCTGGCTCTGACCAACTGGAGCATAGCTGTGCTCTGAGCTTCATCTGAACATCCTTCACTTGACGAGGAGGTGATTTCTATGTGGTCTTTGCCCATATGATGGTTGGTCTGGAATAAAGGGATGTCCCTGCCTTCCAAAGTCTGTGCTTGAGAAATTCAGAGCTTTCTAAAAAGAATAAAGCTGGGTAGAAATTCCAGCAGACCCTAAGAAGAAAGGCCAGGAATTAATGGCTTTGCTAAGAGACATACTATATGTCCAAGGGCCCCTGCTGACCACATGCGGGGTGAAGACTGAGCAGAAAAGATATACTTCCCACCTGGCCACATTGTGGCATGTTGTTACGGTACATAGTACCAGAGCATCACAGCCTCTCTGCCTCCCTTTTCCAGCATTAGAGAATGGCAAGAACCACCAAGGAGCACAGAGATGTGCGTGGTGATAGCTATAGGTCCCACATCCTTTAGTCCTCTTGGGAATTCCAGGCTTCATACATGAGCAACGTCCCTCAGGATTTCACATGCTGCACTGGTGTAACACCTGCTTCCCAGCCGTGCTTTTGTGCTGACACCAGGCAGGGCACTGGGGCACACAGCTGCAGCTCTGCATGTGCAGCATTTGTTCCAGACCAAGTGGCTTTTCACTCCAGTTGCTTCTTCCCACCCTCTGCTGAGCCATATCTCCCATATTTCTGTGAGAGGCACTGTGAAGTCCTTGCCCGCAGTGAGAAGCCCTCAGAACACAGTCCCCCAGGAACCTTGCTCACGGAGCAGAGATGTCTATCTAGCTCTCTGGCTTGGCTGCTCCTGGCAGTCAGTTTTTATGTTTGTGGCAAAGGTCACTTTCTAACAGGGGAGATAAAAAAAGTGATCCTTCGGGCAGGCATTTGAAATGTGTTTGCGGGATGAGAGCTCATCTGCAAATTCATCTGCTTCAACAAGTTTTAGCCAAGTGAGGAGCCATAGGAATGTCCTGAGTTGCCCTGAGCTGTATGGGGATGTAGAGTACTTGGAGGTCGTTCGTTAAAGGCTGGCTGCACACACATCACAAATCTGCACCCACAAGCCTTTGACACTGCCCAGCATCGTTCCATCAACCTGAGGCTCATGAAGTATTCGGGCACTTATGGACCAGCTTTCCAGAAATAAACAAATGCTGTTCTGTCCACATCTCCCCTGCTGTGTTTCAATCTGGACTGATTTAGCAGAGCCAAGAATCTCAAACACTCTGGGTCTTAGGCTTGGGATGGAACTACTGTTCTCTCCAGGCTGTGGCACAGGGAAAATTGAATTAGAAGCTGCAGGGACTTGCAGAGAGTAGGGATGTTTTTTCCTTCCCTCCAGCAAAATTTCCTTGTGATGCCCCACTAATTTTGCTACTTCATTTCAGCCTGGAGTCCTAAGGGCTGTGCCTCTTTCTCCACTGTTTTTAGAGACCTCAGGCATGGAGAAGGACATACACAGAATCACAGAATCTTAGAATCACAGAATGGCTGAGGTTGGAAGGGATCTTAAAGACCATCCAGTTCCAACCCCACGACATGGGAAAGGTTACCACCCATCAGAACAGGATGCCCAGGGTCCCATCCAACCTAGCCTTGAACACAGGCAGCCATTTGGAGGAGAGAACAGGGATTTGCATCCCCTGAGTGCTGTACAATTGGGTACCATCACTGGCAAAGGGTTTGCCTCCTGTTAGAGACAGAAAGATGAACAGAGAGCCAATGCAACCAAGTGCTGGACAGATCAACATTCACACAGGCGTTGTCCTGGTGTCTGAGCACAGCATGCTGCTGCAATGTCTCTCCCTCCACATGATGCTAATTAAGCAGTAGTGCCTGGGTCTAATGTGCTTCCTTATGTCTGAGGCACTAATGGTGCTCAGCAATTAGTCCATCTTCAGGTGTTGCTCCAGCAATAAATCAATAGCTATTAGGGATAAATTATCCCATTTTTAACAGTCACACAGCTTTCTCCATTCTAAATCTTGATTTTAAATTACTAGCCTGCAGTGGGGTTTAATAAGTTGCAGTGCTTTTGAACTCACAAGAGGAAAAAGGAAGGTTCTCTGCTGCCTTTCACAGGTACTTACATTCGGATGTGCTCTACCTGTTGTGTGCACACCTGCACACTGGGAATTAAGCCTGGAGAGACCAGAGCACCAGAGCAACCACCTCCAGTGCTATGCCAGGCTATACTGGGACACAGGGAGAAGTAAAGTGAAAAAGGTTTCAAGGTTGGAGAGGAGAGGTAGAAAGAGCAGGGCCTTGAGGGATGCCTCAGCACCACCAGTGAGGGCATGGGGCTCATTGGAGCAGCCCTACAGCCCTTCCTAGGGACCATCGTACAGGGAGGCAAAGCCCAAGCCAGTAAAATCTACTTGCTCCCAGAAACAAAAAGAGGACTGAGAATAAATAGACTTTGAAATGTCTCTAGTACCTTTACCTGCAGAGGGTTCTTTGTGCTTATGGCAATGACGTGGTACTTGTAGTAACACAGCTCACAGCTCCAGCAGCCTCTCTCGCTAATCCATTTGATCAGACATGGCTGGTGCGTGCATTTCACCGATCCATCGCATCGACACGGGCTCAGCAACTCCCCCTGGAAAAGAGAGATGGCATCATGAGGCTCCCTCCTCCTGCAGAGCACGGCAAAGAGGTTCATGCACAGACCTGGTACTGGCCAAAGTGCTCCTACAACCACCCCTTTGCTCTTTGCCCCTTTTCACTTGGATTGGCTTAGGTAATAATGTTACCTCCCTGAGGATGCTGGACCAGCAGAAGACATCCACATCCCATCTGCCTTGGGTTGGGAGGCCAGATCCTGCTCCTCCTAAACCTGGGGGAAAACTGCCTTAGGTTTCAGGGCACTACACCAGATCTGAAAGCCCGAGGAAGTGAGAGCCATGCTGGGCAAGAGCGATACTTTTTTTTTATGAAATCTAATGCAAACACATTAATCATTTCATTTGCTTCAGCTAGGTGACCTAAAAATGTCATCTTCCATGAAATTTCAGCACAACTGTAAATAACTGTTTATGCTGCAAAACTAGACTCAGCCCTACCTGTCAGCCACTTCCATTACACACTAGAGAGGACACAATGAGGGGGGAGCAAGAAAGGCTTTAGAATCCCCAAACATTTTCAGGGAAGAATCAGGCTGGTGTCCCACACACCAGGATCTCTGCAGGGCTGAGGTTTGGCTGGGCTTTGGCTTAACAGGCGGCTGGAGGCAGCAGGGATGGGTGGAATAGAGCAGAAGCCAACAGTGACAACCTTCGTTAGGTCTCCTTGGTCTCCATAGTAAATGAGTCTATGAAATCCCAGCTGCTCAGAGCCAAGAGATGTCCACAGACATCCTACACAGCAGTGGGGAGCTGGTCCTCTAACATCGCACTGCTCCAACCCAGACAGCCCTGCTGCCCTTCGCGAGAGCTCATGGCTGGAACACGGAGATGAAATCCCCGGTTTTTGGGCTTTTGCAAATCCAGCAAAACTGTGATTTATCACATTTCCCCCAGCCATGTGAAGTATTATATCCTTGCATGTGGCACACAGCTATTTTTGCATACTGTGAAGCCCAATTCTGTCCACAGCAGGCATTCATAAAACACCGCCACACGCACACTTGCGCACATGTGCTTGTGTACCAACAGAAAAAATAAACACTGCGGACATAAAAGGCACAAATCTTTTGTATGTCGAGGAGAAGGAGCTTTGTAACTGGCTGTGCAGTTTGCTCAGGAACAGTCCCTCAGCTGTGAGCCCTGAGAAATGGAAGTTAAACCCCACGGCCATTTCTGTAGGTTAGTAGAAGATAGCTCTGCACAACTTGCTCTCCAGTGCCACCAACGCCCTTCGTCACTGCTCTACAAAGACATTCTGGAGGGAGAAAAAGCTTCAGAAAGAGTGGTGAGGCATTGGAAAGCCTGCCCAGGAAGATGGTGGGGGTGGGCTGAGGGTTGAACTATATCATAGAGTCATAGAATCACAGAATCATAGAATCATAGAGAGGTTAGGGTTGGAAGGGACCTCAGAGATCATTTACTTCCAATCTCCCTGCCATGGCAGAGTTGATCTTAGTGGTCTTTTCCAACCTTAATGATTCTATGATTCTATACTGTCCCCCTGAAACAACCTGCTTTGTTTCCTGTCTAAAATAGGAGCTTGTCTTCAGGAGCAGCAAGGCCAGCCAGGCTGACCTGGCTTTATTGCAGGAGGAGTATGCTGCTGGAGATGGACTGGAGCTGCTCCCACTCAGTGCCCATTGCAGTACATCAGCGTGATTAAGGATTGCCTATTTTCAGCCTGCTGGGAAGACTTCTGAGAAAGGATGGGAAAAACACTGTTGCCAGTGCATGCTTCTAATGGTTGGTATATTCAGAGGGAAAATACTGACATCAGGATCAATGTCAGCCCTTCTGCATACTGATGTCAGTGTGTTGCCCTGGCCATTTTATCTATCATTTACCAATGCTGGGAGCCCATCCACATTCACAGGCTGCTTCCAAAGCTGTGTGGCTCATACATCAGCTGAAGAGCATAGGGCTGGGGACAGTTGTGTCATTTGGCCAGGATGAGGCCTCTGGGCTCTCCCAAGCTGCTCCTGAGAGCTGGGAAAAGCCACGTGCACACATCCTGCTATCCCAGCTGCCGGAGTATTTTCCTATTTTGGAAACAGCTTACTAACCAGGATGGCTGGTTAGTAACGCTTCCTCAGCTGAGCATTTTCCTTGCTCAGGTGTAACAAGAAGGACCAATTGTTGGCATTGCCTGTATGATCAGTGCACCAGGACAGAGCTTATCCCTCCAGATAAGCATGAGTAGCATCCAGTGCTCACAGGAGCAGCTGCACACATGGACCCGACTGCTAGCATTTGTCTGAGTTTGTCTTGTTTGGAAAAGGAAACCAGGAATATTTAATTTTGGGTCTTCAACCGAGTCTTCTAAATACACTTAACTTCACATTGAATTTAAATGCAATGGGAAGTTTTATTATGGCAAATAAATGCCAAATGATTTCTATATTAGGAACATAATTACAGAGGAATTAACTCCAATGGCAAAGAGAAACCCATTGTTAACAGAGCTGGTAAATTCCAATAAATATGTGCTAATGATCTTTCTGTCTTCACACTCACTTACAGGAACCTCCATCCTTTTAAACCTAAATAGATGCGTTGCTACCAGCAACTCCAATGCTTTCTGTGTGTCCCCTCCTGCGTGTGAGTGCTGTGCCAGCCAGCAACAGACAACAGGGGACACTTAATAGCTACCTCTGAAAAACTGAAGCCACGTGTTTCCATCGTGCTTTTTCTCTCAGCCATTATTGTGTGCACTGCATGAAATTCTCCAGCACTCTGTAACATTGTTGCTAAGCATGGACCCCACAAAGCTTATGTATCCCAGGTGCTGGGACATCACTGGGAACAGTCACAGATGGGTGGCATCTGCCCAGGCCCCAAAAATGGCCCTCAGCCCCACCATTGGGTCCATATGTCCCAAATGGTCTCCAGCACCATCACTGGCTCCACAAGCTATGGGAGACTTGCCCTAAAAGCAGACCAGGTGTCTCTTATCATCAATTTCCTTTAAAGAGAAGTAGTTCAAAGGAGCAGAAAACACATTTTCCCAAGATGTAGAGGATTGCAGGTTACTTTTTGTGCAATGGGCTCTGGAGGATGTTAGTACCCCAGTTAAGGCAGAGGATGATTTAAGCCCCACTCAGCTTTGAAAGGGGAGCAGTGGGAATGCTGAGGGCTGGTTCTGCTTTGGGACAATTCCTGTTGAAGGAGAGAAAAGCTGGGCTACCTCCATTGCTGGGAATTGAAGTCAGATGTGAATTTTTGAGAAAGACAACGTCATCCCCAGCACAGCCCATGCACATACCTCCATCCGGTTCCCACCTGCAAGCAGCCCCACCATCCTGCTTCTCCAGGACCAGGAGGCAGGCAAAGGGTCATGGAAATCTGTTCCATAAGAACAAACTCAAACCTTGCCTGAAATAGGGGATAACAAAGGATTTTCAGGAACGACATCTGCTTATCCACAGCCCAAGAAGCAGAGAGCTTATAGAGCACATTGGGAATTATTTGCTTTTCCCTCTAAAGAAGGATTTCCACAAGATAAATAACTTTGCCTAGGTGTTCTGGAGCCCACTTCATCCTAATGTCATTGAACTTGTTTTTGATTAGCTGATTTAAGTAATTCTTACTAAATGTTGCTCAGTTGCAAGGAATCAAAAGGCAAGCATCTCAAATATCACCTGCTGTGCCTCATCAGGTGTGATAATAGCACCGATTAAGTGAAGTGCCTTCAGTGTAGAGAAATAACAGTGCTGCGCATGTGAAATCAAGATACCTGAATACCTCGGAGCTCTCTTGGGTGTGAGAGCGAGTTCAGATGCAGACTTGAGCTGAATACAGAGTGGGAGCTGTCTCAGCATCAAGGAGAAGAGATGTCCTAGTCTATAGCTCCTGGGCTTTCACCCAGTGTGTACTGAGGCTTTAAACTTCTGGAGATTTGCCGTGGACCGCGTCCATTTTGTGAGACGGAATGATCTCGTCTCTTCTGAAAGAGAAATTCACTGTTGTTTCACTCTGCTTCTTCTTAATTAAAAAACAAAGTATTTTAGACAATACTTAGATTTACCCTGAATGAGACAGAATAGTGAACTAAGCTCTGTTCCCACGGATGCTGGGGGTAAATCAGATGTGACTCCATGGAGCCAAACAGCTCTTCAGCACAAATCAAGTGCCCTTAAGCTATGGCTTGTACAAAGTGAAGAGGTTTTCCATTAATTTTTTTATACAATTGCCTTTTTTTTTTCCCTAGTGAAAAAGCCTCAGCTAAATAGAATTTTTCTAAATTTACCATTTAGTTTTCTTGGAAAAAAAAAGATACCAATTATTGCATATTATATCTAATCCATTGGGACCTTCACCTTTCTACTTTTTCAATCCTCATCAGATCCATCAGTGCATATTTTAAAAGTATAAAGTTAATGCTTTCAGCATGCGAGTACCATATAATGCAATTCTTCTCAGAGATGTGCTCATAATTCAGCAAATTGAACTTTCCCTGGGAAGCTGTTCATAAAGATACCCAGCTAATGGCCATTTCAGACAACATTATGCCATCAACTGCTAAGAAGCAGCCATGGAAAATCCACAGAAATGGATGCTGGTTAGATTCTCCAGATGATAGATCCCATTTTCAAAGACAGTGAAATAAACAGCAGTAGACCTTTTTTTTTTTTTCTTTTTTCTTTTTTCCCAGAAAAAAGCCTCTAGCATGACATGACAGCTGAAAGAATCTCTATTCTGCAATATTTGCCCCTGTTCGACATTAGCAACCTTGAGTGGTTCCCAGGCAGACACAGACAGAGGGCAGCATTAGCAGGGAACCAGTGGGTCTGCATGCACTTTAATTGGAACCCAGTAATGATGTGAAGACAGAAGTACAGAGCATCTTCCCAGTGTTCCCAGCATCTCTCATCCAGGAACTGGCCTGGGTTGCACCCACAGGTATGCTGGTATAAGGAGCTGCAATAAGAAATAATGTGAGTGGTTTGGTTAATTTTATTTTCAGTAGCTCTGTAGG